ACAGGGTACATACAGACATTCATACACTCACATCTCAACAAACTATGAGACCAACAGCCTTGCCTGGCTGTACAGAATCTTCATAGTCCGATCAGCCCAGTTACGCAGTGCCTTCCCTGTTCATATGTCTGCATCAGCCTGCACAATGAATTCCCCTTTTTAGCTATTTTCATTAGTCTGCACAGCACATTCCCTGTTCTGCAACCTCCAAAGGTTCTTAAATAAGAACCTTTCTTATATTCTTATTAACAGGGTAGTGTTAGTATACTATGGAATAAAAATATAACAATCATAACTGTGTTTCTAGATATTATGTATTATTACATATTCTGTACATATATGTTTAAGATTAACAGTGTGAAATAGGTCTATTTTTTATTTTACTTGAATTGAATCTTAGACATTATATTTACCAAACAATGTTATTACATTTCTATAAAGGTTTAGAATCTATATAGAACATATTCTTTAGATTACCACCTTGATGAAAGGATGACTCAAATTGTGTTAGGGATATCCAAGTTCCATTATCTAACCAAGGAAGACCAATGATTTCAACCTGTTTTGCTCAGTGAAGACAAAGAAGGCAGTTAATTTTATGGCTAACTTCACAGAGCACCCAACATAGCAAATGCATAGCATTCAATGACTTTCTACTTCTCAATTAATTCAAAGAAGCAAGGTCCTCACTTCTAAGTGCAAAAGGTCTTCAACAATTCATGTTCAGTCGGAGCACACTTTCCCTTTGTTAATAGTTTATAAATGATTGTGGTGTCTGGGAACTTGAATGAACTTGAGGATGAAAAAAACAACTCAAAAATCACTTTATTTAATAAGAACATGTGGATGCTAATGGATCCACAACCAGATAAAGGTGATATTGTCATCATGTGCCATTAATACTGTCTAAAAAGATTATACTGTCTAAAGGTAATTATGTAAAACATCTCCTGGATAAAAATGCTACCTAAGTAGCTTGGATTCGAACAAAAAAACAGTTTGAGTCATCATGGAAACATATAGAAAAACCTTGGAATTTATATAATCCCTGAAGTACTGTATAAATTTGCTGAAGCTGTCAGAATGAAACCATGTACAGTGACTTTGATCTTCAAGATAATACAGTAGTACACAGGACTGTAAACAGCAGTATGAAATACTTCATTGAGAAAGAACATCATTCCTCAGGCAGCAGAAGATAGAACACTCCAGATAACAATCAGATCTTCTTACACACATATAGTTATGATGAAACATTTATACAGCAGGCCATTGCTGTTAGATGCAAGCATCAAAATGTGATTTGTATTTGCGAGAAGATTTAACGATGTGGAGAGAATTAACTGCAAGGAAGATGTAATATCAGTCTTAGGAATTGATCACATTTTTAACCCTGGGTTTCTGTTTTGTTTTGCCATATGGTGAATACATAAAAATAGTCCACTTTTATAGCTTGTTGTTGGTAATGGCGTGAATTTGTGTATCTGGATAAATTAAGTGATGGTTTTGTGATTAAGGATTTCTTTGCGAAGTTAAACAAAGTAGGGACGAAGAATTTTAACAATTGCCACTCCCAAGATTCTTACTGATTTGATTCCCCTCATTTAGCTGAAATGGATAAAGAAATCTTGCAGTAGTTATATGTATTGGAAGGCGCTATGTTTTATTAACAGACACTCAGACTCAACCCTGTATCGTACAGTGATATACAATAGACGTGGGTATTGTCATTCCCATTAAACAATGTGCTTATTGCGCAAATCCTGCTAAACTAGAAGCATTGCAAAAAGATGATAAACTGTACATTATTTACTGGAGCGCAATTGAGTTCAAAGAAGGAAGTCCGTGAAGCCCCTGTTTGTTGGTACCAAACATTGATGAGACATCAATGTTCTGTACAGATTACAAAAAAGTGAATGCTGAAACTCCACCTGACATCGTATGTACTCTTTAACCATAATCAAGGACTGATATGCTGTTCCCTTTTGTAACAGGGTTATTCGCTGAAAATTAAACACAAGAAGAGTATTATTGGACAATGCTGTGTGGCTCTGGCAGAGTTTTTCTGAGTTATAGAGGAGACACGTTGTGTATCGCCTCTTTTTTAACTTGTAAGAATGTTCCAATCTTAATACGATATGGAAGATATTATTAATAAACTTTTAAATCTGAAGTTAACTTTACTTCACACCTGCATGTCAAGATCACAGTTTCGAAATAAAAAAAAAATCAAACCTTTGGATGAGAATGTCATGATTGTTATGCAAGGAAGTATAAAGTGACAATTTGTTACAATTACCATCAGGAGAAATTTTTTTATTTATTTATTTGTGGCTGCTGCAGTTGCGCCTTTTGCAAAGGCTGGTTAACATAAGACTGCTTTGTCAGTCTGTCCGTGAGGGGGGCTCTCCTTGACATCTGACACTCCTCCATACGCTAAAGTGAAAAATTAATAAAAATGCAATGTAAATGTCATATTTATAATTGGTTGAAAACAAAAATGGTTGTTAAGTTCTCTAAAGCCCTCTCTGTCATGAAAGAGAATTCATGTAGAGAGCTGCGTCAGCATGCATAGGCTGCAAAAGATCATCTAAAAGAAGAAAGAAAACGCTTTAAGGGAAAATAATGTTTTAGGTGTAAAGAATACAGAGCCCCAGTTCAGTTGCAGCCTAAACGTTTCCCCACACACCATGCCCCCGCTACGATTGGAATATACACAAACAACTTTACAGTATATGGTCAGTTGTTTCGCAGATGTAGGGAAAGTAATTCTGGCTTTTACGTACGGGCATTCCCCAGGCCGACACTTTGCTGAAACAAGGTCCCTATACAGACAACACCAGCCGTCACATGATTGTCTCTGAGGGTGTGAAAAGTGTCCAGAGAAGCAAAGTTTCTGAGCTGTGCAGTGTCTTTTAAACCAGGAACAAGACAGGTGGTGATTGGGCAAAAGTCTAGTGGGCATTTCAGACCCACGTGGGGTTATCATGCCTATAGGTTCCTGATTGGTTGGTCAAAGTGAGAGATGAGTCACAATGACCTCTGACATCTAGGACCGCAATCCAGATGTTCTCAAGAATCACACAGACACATAGGCGCCGAGAATGACCATTGATCATGATCAATCCCCATGATCATCCCCACTTGAGATCTGCTCCTTATCTGAGAAAAAACACCCTAAATCAGAACTGCACAAATAGCTTCTCTGTGGCTGCACCACAGAGATGAGAAAGGGGGAAGGGCCTCATTTAGGAAAGCACAGCAACACTTAATTCTTTCTTATTAATAAGCATTGCCACTACAGTATATAAACTTAATATTATCAGAACGCAGAACGTCAAAACTTTTCCAAAATAACTACAGTAACTGCGCAAAACACTTTGATGCATAAAATGTTTAGAATCAAAGTGGGATGCTGTTGTGTATTTTTTAAATTAAAATACCACTACCAGCCATATACAGTTAGTCTAATATATTTATATTCCTAATTTAATAGCATTTATGACATTCAGAGACATTATGCTCCTGTTAGTTTTATGCTTAGCTACCAAAATTTACCATTAGTTGTAAATTTCCAAACTAATAAATCATATAAAGTGTATTTAAACATGCACAGCAGAGAGATTAAAAGAAGCACTCATTTCACTAAAAACTAATGCACCACATGTTGGCCATTTTAGCCAGCCAATCGCGTACCGTGGTAGGCTATAGATGTTTTCCCACGGTATAGGGTTTTACCGTGCATTTTGAATAACTGCATCTGTATATTGAGAGAATTTAGCTTGTCTATAGCTACTTCATCCTATAAAGGGTTTGCTGAGAGTCTGGTAGACACAGGACATGAATTGGGAAAACATCCTGGACTGTGAAATCAGCTCATTACTGAAAACACCCTTGCAATGTGTTTAGAGACACCACTTAATATAACCTGCATGTATTTTGAAAATGGGAGCACCCACATAAAACTGATCTTAACATGGTGGAGAAAGAAAGCTCCACACTGAAGGAGCCCCCGTTGGCATTCAAACACAAATTCCAAGAGCAATGAACAAGTAGCACTATACTGCTTATGGCATTAAATCGACTGGTCTTTGTAATGCTTTTGTGATGTTATCATGGATTATATTATAAACTGACTTTCTCAATTCTGGATTTATATATTTTTGCACAGCAAACTAGTTTGCAGTAAAACAAACTTTAATCTGAATAGTTTACATTTATTTGCATACTTGAACCTATTTAAGGACCTGAAAAGAGATCCACATTTTAAAAACAGAGATTCAATGTAAATAAATGGATAAATTACAATATAAGGAGAGGAGAAATAATAGAACTGCAGAGATCAAGATGCTTTACAAAATATCTGCACCACTGGATTCCTCCCTGATGAATCATTGAAATATTGGGTATTAGACACTGAATGGGTTTAGACTAAATTCAGGGAAAAAATACGTATTAGTTTTTTACTTGGATTTGTGAAACTATTTAAATTTTAATTTTTATCAGGAACAAAATATTGTCTCCTTTATAGCATCTGGTTGGGTGCAGGATCAACTGTGGAGAACTATTTTATGAATACAGTTTTACTTCATCTTCTAAATGTTTCTGTCTACTTATGAGTGTAATATGTTGGTTATTATTGGAAATACAATTGGAAATATTCTGTGTAATACATTGGAATTTAAGACCTTGTTTCAATTGTAAATAATGTATTTCCTATTGATTATTCTACCACCAAACTGTTACTGGAAAATGCAAGAAGCTATGTGACCTTGCTTGGTATTTCCTGATTAGTGTGAATGTATTATTATTTAACCTTTATAATTGTCTTGTATTCAAGCTAGTGTCAGGACTATTATTTGTATTTAATGTTTTAATACTTAGCTATTCTTCTATTCTTTAACCAGGGAGTTTTTTAACTAACATCATACAAATTAAAGGAACAATAAAGAAAAGTGTTTATATTTTATTTTTAGACTGTATTATTTTCTTTCCTTTAGGCATTTTATGGAAATACTAATGCAGACAGTGTTGTCCAATACAAACTGCAGAAGCCTGTTATAGCAAGATTCCTGCGATTTGTTCCTCTTGACTGGAATTCAAATGGGAGAATTGGCATGAGAGTTGAGATTTACGGATGTTTATACAGTAAGTAATCATACAGCTTAACAACCTATATAAAAACCTATATAAACCAATATATTCTAATCTGCTATCAGACACTGTGGATTCTTTTTTGGAATGCAAATGTCTTGTTATTTTCTCCTAAACGGAATCTCATTACTTAAGCCCAAGATTCTTTATTGTTTTGTATCCTTGCATATTTAAAGGCTTAAATCTGAATGTGAATCTTCCTGGTCACATACATTTTGATTTTGGTATGAGTTACTGAGACATTCCAGGCTGTTATTCACAACTACTTTGGTATTCACATGAACAGTTCATGTTAGAATGAAAATGATTGTAGAGAGCCCATCTAACAAATCATAGTAGTCTGTTACTTGAACTGCATTAGAAAGATTAGTTTTGTTTATAAAAATAAGGACTTGGAATACAAGAACAGATTTGAATGTATTACAGGGCCCTATATTTCCCCAAGGAACAAAATACATTATATAGCAGAATGAGTTATGGAATGGATAATGTGTGTCACTTACATACAAATTCTAATATTATTATATTGTAATCATAATAGCATTTCGAAGTGCAAAGTCATATTTATCCTAAATAATTAACTGAATTCTAGAAAACAATTGTCACATTTATTCACACCCCTAAGTGTTATGTAAATAAGTTTCAACAACAAATCAACAATAATATTCTTCTCTTTAGAATTCCAAAGGAAGCCTCCAGAATTATATAGAGGTCTCTGTAGGCTTCTCGGTTTTCTGGGGTATAATAGGAAGTAATGCATGGAAAACATCCAGTGCAAACATGCATTATTATCATGGTTAAAGTCAAAGAGCTCTCTGAAGACTACAGACAAATGGTCATCGAGTTCTATAATGAAATGTGATGCCTATAAAAGACTACAAAATCTAAATCTACCACTTTCCAGTGCAGAGTCCATTTTATGTAATTTAAGTTTATGAAATGAATGGCAACCCTGAAGACAGGATGCAAGTGTGTCTTGCCACCACAGGCTTTGAAACAAGTAGTGTGGAAGAAACAGTTAGAGATCTTTAATATGCTTTTGGATCCAAAGTGTTGAAAACTACTTTTTGAATGTGGCATCCATAGCTGGGTTGCAAGTTAGAACCTTATTAAAGGGCAAACCACAAAATGAAGTTAATAAAACCTGCCAAAATAATTTCAGTGACAAAGGTTCTGTAAGACTTAGAGTAATTCTTCATGGAGGGATGTCCAAAGATATTCTCTCTGAAGTTCCAGAACCTGCAGAAGGACTCAGGGGTGTGTTTTCTGGGCTTACATTAATGATTAATAACAAATATTACTTTGTTCTTTGCAATTATATTAAAATTACTGTAACATTTATATATTTTTTTAAACAAGAACCATTATCGAAATTGTATATCTCTCATTGATTTTATGTTCATTGTTTCTGTTTCACAATAACTTACATACAATCAATTTCTTAAATTATCTTTACAATCACAAGCCTTTTTTTCACAACAAGAGTAATATGGGGGTGGGGCAAATACAGGTTTCAGCAGACTGTCAGTTGCAGTCACTTCAATTCAGGTCTGGCTGGTATAAGAAATGGACAGTAACTAAAGCCTTTAAAAGTACAAAATACATATATCATGTAGTTGTTGTCTGAGATGAAAATTGTTTTAAAATAGATGGATTATTTTATAATATCATATTTCAATTTTTAACATGGAGTTTTTCCTTCAATGTATAATCTCATTTTTATTTATGTATAGTGCATTGAATTTCAAAATCTAAAAACACCAGCAATACACTTTGGATTATACATCATTTCAATGTCTATGATGTGCATATTTGTGTCTATGTGAGCTCTGCAATGGATTGGCATCCCATTCCAGGGTATACCCTGCCATGTGCCCATTAGGCTGCAGCTAACCCCACAGCCCTGAACTGGATTAAGTGGTTAAAGAATACAGTAGATTGATATATAGTCCAATGCATGATCTTGCTATCTGTAGCCTGATAATCTTGATCTATAATATAAAAACAATTAACATAAAAGCAGTTTTATATTTGCTGAGTGTGTTCTGGTATGTTTCTAATACACTTTTCAGAAACCTCAGATGAAAACTGACACACTTTTTGGTATCTTCAACTACCGTGTTGTTTTTTTACAAAATACAGTTCAAAAGCTGCTGTTAAATGCATATTTATTTAATACTATGTTTAGTTCATTTGCTGTTGCGTTGTATAAAATTCTTATTATATTTGTAATTTTTTGCAGAGTCAGATGTGGCATATTTTGATGGCAGCAGCTCATTACTCTACAAGTCTGATCAAAAGTCAAGTCAAACAATGAAAGATGTCATCACACTGAAGTTTAAAACCATGCAGAATAGTGGAATTATTTTAAAGAGCAAAGGACAATATCGGGACAGTGTAACATTGGAACTAAATAAAGGAAAATTGTTTCTTCACTTCAGTACAGGTAAAAATATAGCATTTATTCTTTCTTATTCTTACCCATTATAATGCAAATTATTCCAGTTCTGAAAATGTTAATACATTACAATGCATTTATAACAATTACATACATACTACAATTTTATCCCTATTTTAGTTAAATTCAGTAAGTTCAGTAAAATAATTGCAAAAAAGTAAGAAAGCAGAATTTGGTTGACACCACCTGTTTGTTATATCTTTAGTATCATCCTGTGGAATTTTTTTATAATATCATATTAATACACTCCAGGTTGATCCAGGACACTCTCCACTACAGAGTGACAATATGTTTAAAATTAATACCTGTTTTTATCAAAACCTTGTGTTGAGCCTCTGCTTTAATGGTGTGCTTGATGGTCATACGGTTCACTACAAATTCAGTGTCCCAAGGAATAAGTTGCAGTGAGACAACTGTATCATGATAAATAGGCCCATTAAGTCAAAACTATGTTTCCACTGGGACTTTTTTTCTCATACAGTCCTCTTGTCTGTGATTTTAATGTCTTCAGGTTAGGGATAAAATGAAACATATGGTTACAAAATGAACCTGTGAATAACTTAAATATTTCAGTTATTGTACAAGAAAAGCAACATATTACAACACAAATCAGGAACCAAATAGTGTAAAATAATTGAAATTGCCAGATGTTTCTAAATAACAACATAAACAGTAAAATATATAGCTTTAGCATGATATGCATGAATTATTTTCATAGTTTAATGTGAAGAACAATAAACCTGTAAACATTACAGAAATTAAAGGATTAAATTAGATTTATATATAATACTGTTAGCTAAAACACAGTTCTTGTGAAACAGGTAATCAAAAGAACTTTCGATTATAATTTCATATTTTAGATTTTGAATGCATGCACTTGTTAGTGAGTTTTCTTTTTTTAAAGTGTCATATTTACATTACAGATTTATAAAACATTACTGAAAACATCCACATTAATACTATTATGTCTCAGAATCACCATGAATGGACAGCTAAAATGGGCAGTTTGCTTTTCTAAGGTTATAAAAGCTAACAATAGGTATACCTAGGGTATACTTGCTATAAAACACAGTTAGATGTCTCAGAGCAATAGCTTGATTGCAGAAATGTCCTGGCAATCACTACTGTACAAGCTGTAAGTAGCAGGAGATTTAAAGAATATCCTTGGGTTTCAGAAGCTCCTAAAAGCTAAAGTTGTCAGACATTTCTGCCTCAACAAACAAGCAACTTTAGAATCATTTGAAGAGTTAGTAGGGGGTTTGAGAACAACACAAACCACATTTATGCTGTCCCTGTGGCAGTGAACTGCTGCTCAAAGATAACAAATCCAGAAGAATTTTTATATCACCTAGTCCCCAAAAGATATTATACTTTTGTTTACCATTATTGGCAGGATAGACTTTTACTTTTCTTTTAGAAAAAATATGTAGATATTTTCTTTAAAAATGTGGATCATAATTCTTATAAAAAGAATTTGTTTTATATCTTTTAAGTATTTTTTGTTACCATAGTATACAATTTATTGTTGCTCCATTGTTTTTCGTGTGTTTGTGTTCTGGGACTATTTGGCACACGTGGAAAAATGTGGTACAACTTTAATTCCTTGGTGCTATGTACAGATGTAGCCATTCAAAATGCACGGGCGATACTGCATTATTTTCCGGTGCGCTGTACGCAGTCTACCGCAAGTTACCGGTAAATACCGCGAGTTACCGGTAAATACCGCTAGTTACCGTAAATTCTACTATAATACGACAAGCAAAATAATAGTATCCGGAATTTCCGCAAGGTGGAGCTAATAAAGCTCAACCTCTCATGTTTGAGCTGCCGCCATCAAAGTCTTTAAGGAAGATATTACTAATAGCATTAATAATGAATGACCTTGGACAAGCTGTAAGTGTAAACTCAAAGTATTGCCCTGGTCAACATTCTGTTTTTCATTGACCGTCTTTGTAAAAGTAACACCA